GGGGCACCCAATTCTACACTAGAGCCAAATTAGTTTATTTTTTCGTTTCTAATATTTATTAATATGCTTAAAACCAAGTAAATGTACAGGCTATTTGCATATTTTTTAGATGACTTTAACTTGCTGTAAAAAAATCGCCTGCTTGGTAATTTTTTTTTAAACTACAATTGTATTTTTGAAAGTATAAATTATCATCTACTGCTTGACAATTTTGTATTCAGGTGAAATGGCGCTTTCAAAGAAGCAATGGATGAAAGGCAATGTTCGTGATCTTTCTGGAGAAAATTACTTGTACTTAATTATTAAAAAATGCTATGAAAGCTAATATTTTTCGGTATATAAAACAACGATAGATGATGCTATCAATAAGAAAAGAAAAAACACCAAATTTTTGGCTTCAAGGGAAAAAATTGTTTAAATTATATATACAAGAAAGAATCGAAAGGTTGCAAAGGTAAGAAAGAACCTTAATGTTCAAAGGCAATCTTCGAAATCAAAGGACAGTTGCATAATCATTAAAAGGTTCAGTGTCAACTTTAAGCAAAGTAATTAATGCTAATTTGCCTCTTAATAGGGAGAAAAAAAGTAATGTGCATCATGTTTCTCCACCACATATCGCCGAAGGCAGAACGTGCTGTAGAATTCTCTATGAGGAACAATTATTTGACCAAAAATTGGAAAAATGTTATCACAATAGATGAATCTTTGGTATATTTAAACGACCGCAATAAAAAGAGATACATTTATTTTCATCAAAGAGAAGAAAAAATTTTAGAATATGGTTCAAATAATCTAAAGAATGTTTTTCAAAGGAATCTGTGATTGTCACTGGTTTTTCATATAACGACAGATAAAAATTGAAGAGAGTGCAGAAAACTGTGCTGGTCAACTCCAAATATTATCAGCAAAATATTTTATACCCAATTTTCAAGCAGAAAATACCTTCTCTTTACCCACGACGCAAAGCAGCTACAAGTAAAAATTCACTGTTAATTTCCTGAAAAAAAGTGGAATAAGAAATGAGTATAACGGCTATACTCTTCACTCATATCCCTAGTAAATGTTATGGTGTATCATTTAAGTAGTTTTGCACTTTTAAAAAGGGAATTGTCCAAACGTCGACCTACAAACCTCTTTGACTTTAGAAAGCTGTTCAAGAGGAACGGGATAAATTACCTCTTTCCGTACTAAGAAAAGCGTTATTGTTTTGGAAATTACGATGTAAAAAAATTAGTGAAGAATAAAGCGTATCAAATAGAACATTAATGTTAGATAAAATAATGTATTAAAAATGTTAGATAAAATATTCCTGTAAATAAAATGAATATCGTCTAAAAATTGTACGAACGCCTCTGTAAGTGCTTCATGTATACTTTGCTTCATTTGCTCAATCAACGTTTTCGCTCGATAAGGAGATTAAAAATAATTAATAAGTGACCAAATATGAGTATTAATAGCATAAAAATATGGTTTAATAAAATAATTCTGAATAACACATTTTAAACTTTATTTACATGAAAGAAAACAGTTGTATATACTTTGAAAGGATAAAGCAAAAATTTGCTTAAGAGCTTTTAATTCTATATCTGTTTGCCTTATTTATAAAATAGCTTTAAGAAATCATTGCTGAATATGATCGTCATTACCTAACAGCTTCAACTTCGTTTGAATAAACAAATGGCTAATTTTTGAAGCATAAAAATAGAAATCATATGTCTTATGTAAAATTCTAAGCGGTGTACAGATGACTCCTTTTTTAAAATCGCTCTTGCCCAAGATTATGATTATATTTTGTAAAGAAATATTGCATTTCGCCCTACGTGTCGTAGTGTTGTAAGTGGTGTGCATGTATAGAGCAACTGGAAGATCCGTGGTTCGAATAGGGATTATGCTAATTTTTCTGATAGCTGATGCGGGATTAAGCTTAAGGCACAGCTAAGTTTTCATGTCTCTCGCTTTGAAAAACCTAACTGAATCTAAATTTTTTTCAAAAAAAGAGAGTTAATCTTTTCTTAATAATTTATAAGGTACTTTCTCTCCCCTTTTTGCATACCTTCGTGGTGTACACGCGTATATTCGAGAGCACACTCGCGTATATTCGAGAGGTCCAAGTTCGAGTTCCGGCGAAGGCATTGCTCCTTTTTCATGTTTCCTGCTTCAAAAATCATAATGACACTACATTGGCGCACGAACTAAAAAAAAAAAAAAAAAAAAAGAGATATTAGATGATGATTCTTCACCACCATAATTTGGCGATTGTGTCCCCTAATTCTCAGTCGCCCTTTAAAACAGGGAGTATGTAAGATATTTCCACCCTCCTTTTTGGCATGCCTTCGTGGTGTAACGGTATCACAGTTGGCGCGTATTTGAGAAGTCCAGGTTCGAGTTCCGGCGAGGGCATTGCTCATTTTTCATGTACTTCAGCTTTAAAATAACCTAATATCTCTATAAATTCCTTTGTTGATAATTGAAACGTCTATTCGTTTACACATAATAATTCATTACGCTCATAATAATTCATTACGTACATAATAATTCATCAAATTCATTATGTGGCGAATTTTTGTTATCCCAGTAATGTTGAGGAAGAAATGAGAGCGTATTTTCCATTATTATTGTTTTTTTTTTTTTAATTTATTCAATATTATAGAAGAAATATAAGCTTTTGTACACACACACACATATATATATATATTTATTTGCTAAAGTAATATTGATTATATTATCTCTTAATATAGAGTTAGTAGAATGTACCTAAATGAAGTAACCCAGAAGTATGAAATTTAATCCCGAAAATAATATTTTTAAAGGAACTTGAATTTAAATCGTGAAAAATAGAAATGCAAACTTTTAATATTAAAATTAATAAACCAAGTAAACAAATAGGCTCATCATTGATCGGAAATTGGTTGACTTTTCAAGGGAACCAAACCAACCCCCGTTCAATTAACAATAATTAATAAATGCGAAGGTGTTTTGTCTTTTACTCAAGTAAGAATGATGATGCCAAACTGGCAATTTTAGTTAAGGCCAACATTGTAGTCGAGTTTTAATTCAATTAGTGAGGTGAATTAAAGTGAAGTACTATAAGGAATTCATTTGAATGTAGCATTTCCGTTTAATTAATGGATTTTATAGAAACCTCCAGATATTAGAGCCAAATCAAGCTCCAGAACAGAGCTTGATGGTGAACAGCATCTAGTTTTAACAATACTGATGACCGAGCGGATCCGTAAACAGCTGATCCATAATGCAGTCTAGAGCGGATAAGCGCTCTGTAAATACGGAGTATAGGGCAACGCTCTGCACCTCAGGTGGTGTTCGCCTAGACTTTTAAAATGTTTGTGTTTTTAAACACTTTTTTCTCAGGTTTGAAACGTGAGAAAGGAAAGTCAATTTTCGGTCGAACAATCATTCCTGAAAATTTTACTTCAGGTGCAGCTGGAATAGTTGTACTATTCAGATATAACTCAGGCTCGGGATGGAGACCTCGCTTCCTACAAAAGTGCACGCACAAAATCTTCTGTTTCCAAAATGTAAATTCCTGTTTGTCTGGATCTTATTCAGAGCCATCTGCAATTGCCTCCCTACGTATGTCATGTCTACCCCTTGACAGTTAATTTATAGATCATCAACATAAAGAGATCCTAAGATGGATCCTAAGTTCCTTTTATTTCAGTTTCTAATCTTTTTTTTTTTTTTTTTTTTTTTTTTTTTTTAAGCTGAGCAAGGTTACACTAAGCACACAGTCTTGAGGCACACCCTCTTCCTGTTCGAAAACATCTGACAAAACAGAGCCAATCCTTGAAAAGTTATAGTGTTCAAGAAATTTTAAATGAAAATTGGTAGGTTTCTGAGCAAGCCTCTGTCGTGAAGATCTCGAAGTATACCGTATCTCCATGCCTTATCATAAGCTTTCTCAATGTCAAACAATACTGAGACAAGGTAACTTCTTTCAAAAGCTTTCCGAATGGTTCTAAAAAAGAAGCATGTTATCTTATCTGCGGTTGTTCTTCCCTTTCGAAGAGCTCTTTGATAAGGCGATATAATATTATTCTTTTCGAAGAAGTAGACTAGGTGGCTGTTTACCACTTTTTCAAACAGCTTGCATATGCAACTCGTAAGAGCAATTGGCCGATATTTGGAGGGATTCCTCGGATCTTTTCCTGGCTTGGTAATGGGAACAATAGGAATAACAACAGCTCTCCTCCATGCACTAGGAAAAGTACTCTCCTTTCACACTCTATTGTAAAGAGTGAGAAAAGCAGTCAGTGACTTATAGGACAGACGCTTCAGCATTTCGTAGTTCAAGCCATCAAGACACGGAGAATACTTATGTGTCTGCAACAAAGCTCTCCTTAATTCAAGCATAGTAAAGTCGCTGATATAAAGCTCAGATTTGGAAAAAGTTGAATGCGATGGGCTTTCTTTCAGAGCACTGCTTTATAGAGAGAACTGCAGCTGAATAGTTTCTGCTGGAAGAAACGGCAGCAAATGTCTCACGAATTATATTAGCAATTTTTTCTATGGAGTTAATCACTCGACCATCTTTTTCCAAAAAGGAAAGTGAGTGGTCTTTATATATTCCGCATGCTTTTCGAACTCTTTCCCAAACTCGCTTACTAGGCGTAGAGGACGTTATTGATAACACATATGAAATCCAGGAATCCCTCTGGCTCTGCCTTCTTACTTTTCGTGCATTTGCTTTGGCTTTTTTAAATGCCATAAGGTTCCGCAGAGTAGGGTATCTACGAAAAGTTCCCCTTGCTTTTTTCTGTTTTTTTTTTTTTCTTCAGTGTTTCATGGCAGTCACGATTCCACCATAGTTTTGAGTACTTTCGTATTTTTTCTGGTGTTCTAGGAATGGAGAGCATAGTTGCCTGAGTAATAGCAGTTGTAATTGCTTCCACCACATCATAGATAGGCACATCTTCTACCATTTTCACTATGAGCTTTGCAGAGGAAGAGAAGAGTTTCCATTTTGCCCTATCAAGTATAAACTAAGGGAGTCTCGACATGGTGTTTACTTCTCTTCGTGCAAGAGATACAAGAATGGGATAATTATCGCTGCTGCAAAGATCACTTCCAACACTAAAATTGCAAAATGGCAATAGAGATGGTGAACAGATGGGTAACTCAAGAGCGTGGAATGTCTTTGTAGGTTCATGGAAGTATGTGTCCTGCTCATTATTCAGGAGACAAAGGCAATGATGTTCAGTTATCTGCTCTATTTGTCTTCCTCGTGAACTGGTGTCTTTGCTTTCCCACAAAGGACTATGGCCTTTAAAATTTCCCATTATGATAAAAGGCTCAGGGAGGTGCGCTACAAGGTCATTTAAATCCAGATGATCAATGTGGTTATTTGGAGGCAAATAAAGAGAAAGGACTGAAACTGCAAATATGAAAATTTCCTTGCACAGTGACATCTTGGAGGGATGTCGTGAAAGGAAAGGAACTTCATGGATAGTCCAGTGAGGTGAAGAGACCTACACCTCTACTGGCACGCTCACCTGAAAGATTATCCTTCCTGACGAAAAAAAACCTCCGAAGTTTTGCATGTTGATCTGGTTTCAGATTTGTCTCCTGTATTGTCAAGCACACAGGATGATAAGCATTGATCATAGCTTTGATTTCAAGGAAATTTCAGTGGTAATCACGACAGTTCCATGAGACGAGGGTGGCCATTATGATTGATATTTGCTCTTTTTGTGTTGCTTTTCAGTTTTGCTCGGAAACAGAAGTTTCGGAACTTCCAGTCCCTCCTCCACTTCCATACTATCTGAATCCACAAATTCAGAAATCATTCCATCTAGAGAGCTATTGCTGGGGCTTCTATTTTTGTTAACTGCTTTTGGAGGGACATTTTTTTGGTTTGCTTGGAATAACTATTTCTTTATTTTGTATGATGTGTGTTGGATTTTCTTTTTCTTTCTTGCAGGCTGCTGGGTTTTATTTGGTGGAGTCTGTGTACTTATTGAAGTTTGGGTGGCAATGGTACGAGTTAATTTAACGGCACTGCATATGATTTATTTGATTGAAGCTGTATGCTTTGAACTAGTGTTCTGGTTTCAGCATATGAGATGTTCCTAGTGACTTTTTGTCTGTACTTCTTTTCCTATTTTCCATTTTGGACATGAACGGGAAAATGCTGTATGGTCACCCTTGCAATTTACAGACAGTCAGCGCACGTCAGGTTCCCACGACCGGAAATCTTGGAATGGCCGAAACGCTGGCACTGGAAGTATCGCATAGGGTTTGGAATATAAGGTCTTATAAGGCAATTAAAATATCTAGCTTTGATATTCTTCGGCAGATCAGGCAACTTGAAGGTCAGGATGACGAGTTTCATGCCAACCAGCTGACCTTCCTTACGCATCTTAATCCGCTTTGCAGCACAAACCTTTTAATCAGCTAACTCGGTAACGAACTCTTTTTCAGGAACAGACAGAAGGTCGACTTCCGAGATTACACCGCGGCAATAATTTAATGTCTTGTGCCCTGTTACAGTGACAGTTGCTTTCCCAAGTTTGTTTTTTTGAAGTAATGAAGCAGATTGGGTGTTCGAAATTGTATTGATAAGCAAGTCTCCAGAGCGGAGGCGCTTTATATTTCTGAGTTCACCAATACAAGAATGAATGTATTTATTAATAATAAAAGGAGACATCTTTTACAGCTCGCCAGAAGGACTAGAGACAACAAGGAAACGGGGACTATTGTTAGGATTATTTGCATTTGCATCTGTATGTACTTTTTTAGCAGATTTTTCAGAAAAACTAGCGCTTTGAGCGCTCTGACTTCAAAGTCTTTAATTAAATATATTTTGGAATTAGCCATATTGAAGAGAGAAATGATTCGGACCCGGCAGCCCCACCCACCGCAGAGTCCAACAAGGGGACGCAGAAATCTGCGCCAGGGTTAACCGGCTCTATACGCAATCTGAAGCCCCTACAGTCAGCTCTCTCGAAAGCTTATCCCCAAGCCACTGTCTTTGAGGACAAGTGACCAGCTGATTGACACTAGCGGGGACAACTAAGTGCCTTCCGTTTCAATCTGAAGCAGAGGCCAAAGCAGTGTGTTGGAGACAGTACCTCGCCACTCAACTACCAGGACCGTCACCATCGAGATAGATAAGGCCTGCGCTCTGAAACGAAACTGGCTTGTGACGTCACGGTTAAGGGACCCTCAGCAAACTTTTTGTTGGCTTTTATAAGTTGTAATTTTTTATTCATTATGTTTTAAGAATTGAATTTATATTTACTTTTGACACCTGAAGCATCATCCCTTGTAATGATTACTAACACTAGTAATATAAAAATTGTCAGCAAAATTTATGATTATTTATTTTAATTGGAAACTAATTTTATATGAAATAACTGTCCTAAGGGGTTAAAAGCATAAAACTTATTTCATTACATAATATGTAGAATATCAAATGCAGAGTAAATTTGATTCTTGACAGAGTACTGTGTTCTTAAATTTAAATATCAATGTTTTTTGCAAATCATTAAATATCATTTTATCATGATGAAACTTAAATGCATATGTTTAGCTAACATAGCTTCTGTTCACTTTTATATATGTTATTATCATGCAATCAGTTTGTTTAAAATTTGTTATGCAATATAAACCTTTCTGAGAATGATAGAAAAGTTTCTAAAGTAATGTATGTAAGATTCATATTAAGGTAATTAAATTGCGAGACTGCAAAATGAAATTTTAAAAATGTACAGTTATTGACGAAGCAGTAGTAATTGAATTCATATGTAGACATACTTGTTTTCATTGTATTTCAATTCAATGCAATTTTAAAAAAACAATTTTTTTTTAATTATCTTTTTTAAATTACAATTTTTAATTTGAGTACGTGGCCCCACCAAAAGCTATGTAAGTTAAGTTAAAAAAAATTGCTTACATTATACAGAAAAGTTTTGAACATGATGTTTTAGGATTTATATGTTCTTTTCACGTGGATATTAATAGAAAAAATATTTTCAGAACAGAGGTAACGCTTATAGTTAAATAGGTATGATGGTAAATATTTGCAAGAAATTTCAGTTTTCTAAAAGTTTTTTTAAGTATTTCGTATATTTTTAAATATTTTCAAAAAAATTGTGTATAACTTTATTTAAAAAAAAAACTTTTTTCCCTGTCTTATTTCGAATTTTAATATTGATAGTATAGCTATGTAATAAACATTATCTCAATTTAAACTACATATTCTGTCGAATAATTATGTAGCATTAAGAGGAAAACATTAACTGTAATACAGATTAACATACAATATGTAAGTAATAATAATTTTAAAACTATAGACTATTTAGTAATTTATTACATTCAGAAAAATTTTTTCTGACTGATATAAGGCGTTTAAATAAATGTTAGTCTAAATATTAAGTAGTCTCTTGCATTCGTTTGATGTTTTATAATCCTGCTACATTAATATGATAGATATAAAAAATATGCAATAATTATAGAATGAGAGATAACATGTGTTTCCCACTGGCAAACATTTTGTTAAAGTAGTGGGTGAAACAAAAAATTTGATGCGGTGATGAGAATCAATGAGAGACAAAAAGACCAGCGCAGAAAAAATCAAAGTAAAAAATTTTAGCTACTTGAATTTTAAAACCAATTTTTCTTCAAAGAAATGATTGCTGTTAAAAGCACCATTCTCAAATAAATTTTGTTTTGAAAATAAATACCAACAAAAAGAAAGTGAAAATATTTCATATTCGTATAAGCTTTGTAAAACATTATATTGCCGCTTGTAATTTTGTTTTAGACTGATTTTATAGTATGAGATACCAATTTCATAGAATAGGTTTAGAAAAACGGGTGTTTAGCAAGGAAGCTAAACTGCGCGAAGACCGGTCCCCTAGCAGTGACGTAGTAACTCAGCGCGCAGGCCTTATCTATCTCGATGGTGACGCCAGGACCCGCCTTTCTAGCCTTACGGGTCACAAAGAAACTCTATACAAAGGGATGTGATAGAACCATGGAGGTAGGAAAGGGAGGAGGGGCCATTCCGCGCTAGAAGTGAAGCACTGCTTTGAAGCTTGGGTCACCAGACGGGGTGTTTTTTGTTTACATTCAGAAGCTCGCTTGAGCAATTTCTGATAGTATTTCGACACACGACAGTTCCATAGAAATCGAAAACGGGACACTCTCGCATGAAAGAAACATTCATAGTGTGATGGATAATAGCAATTTGTATAGTTTACTGACATTTACGCAAAAATCACATCTTGGTTATTTTTCGATAACTAACAACAGCGATTTTGATTATGAATTTGTTTTATAAAATTCTAAGCTGTTGCACTACAAAAATATAGATTTTAAGAAAATTGCTAAAAGAGATCTGCCAAAATTTATTTTCTAGAAGATTTGAAAAGTTTGAAACTTGATGGCTAAATGTAAATATAAAATTATATATGTTAAAATATTTGTAATTAGGCACATAGGTCAGATTAAGTTTTTATTAAATAGAGTAACACATGCAAGGGCTATCTGCCTAAAGAGAGAGATGCCATCGTGGGGGAATTTTGAAGAAAAACTGACCTTTGAGTGGGTATTAAAAATAATACTTATAATTTTCATTCAAATTATATTCATATATATTTTTATGTAAAACTTTCGGGTGTATGCTAAATTAGTGTAAATTACTTTACACGAAAAATATAGTGAATGCACAGAAATTAAAGATTTGCACATGCCGGAAATGATAAATAGGAAATATGTATGGGTATTTATGCATGTGCTTGCAAAAAGCATGTATGTATCTGCCTTTGACAAAATACTTAAATATTCATTAAATTATTTATAAATGTATTTGAAATGAAGAATTTATTCACTTATAAACAACTGTGATAGTACTGTGAAGAAATCTAATGATTAAATGTATCTAATTTATAATGATTATAAATGTTATCTAAATATATCTAAATACCTTAATATTGAATTGTAAACATAAATTGAAATCCTGTTGACAAATACGTTATAAAACTATTTAAGCAAGAATTGTTCGTATTGGAAAGCAATCTGTTAAAAGGTATTGTAAAGCAAATGCTATGAGATGCGCACTTAAGAACGTAATAAAGAGTTTTGGAATATGTATTGTTGAAATGAAGGGTAAAAAAAAAAATCTGATAAGTATAATTAAAAAAAATTATTCCCTTTACATTTTATAATAACTCAGTTACAAAGTTTTAAATAATACTTAAAAAAAAAAAAAAAAAAAAAAAAAACTTACTTTATTCCCTTTCAGAAATGTTCAGAGAAAGTCAAATACTATTTCCTAATAATTCTCTAATTTAAAATGAACCGAATAGAGCATTAATTATAAATTGACTTACATTTTTTCGATTTAAAAGAAGCCAAAAAAAATCATGTCATATTTAAGAAAGTATTTTAGGAAGAAGCTCTATAA